AGCAAAGTACGAGTTCTGAGGAGGGAGCCGTAAGTGATGACTCAGAGTGGCATACGAAGCTGCCTGGACAGGTGTGAGACCAAGCTGAACTCCACGGTGAGAGGGAATTGTGTGAAGTTTAAGGAAAGAGAGTGATAACAGAGAAAAGGCCCACAACTGCCATTGTGGATTCTTTTTCATATTTTCCATTCCCTCTTCTTCCACACTTAATGAGGTCACGTCACACCCCCAGCCATCCTGCATATCTCCATAAGATTATTACTAAAATACTGCCTTGACCATATTGTCTACACCTCTGGATTCACAAACCCCTTCTACACTTATTTGGGGTTACAAGGCTCTCCTGATCTGGCCTGTGTCAACTTGTCCAATCATATCCTTCAGCTCGATTACGCACCCATCCACTTTCCAAGCTCTTCCCTCAACCACCTTCTCAGATCCCTTGGTCTACTCACGCCCACACCTGTGTTCTCTTCCCACCCCCTTGACTATACCTTCACTGATACCATCCTTCCAGCCTGGATGCCTTCTCCCTTCATCTGTGCCCATCAGAATATCTAAGGCCCATTTTTTAGTCTCCAAAACTTTAAACTCTTAGAAGATGGAAACCAAGTCTATATTTTTACATCCATCAGTGTCTTACAGGTGGTAAGCACCCAGCAGATATTGAATAAATAAATAATTATTACCCCTATTTTTGGCCATTCCTACATATAACCAAAAGTAACTATATTTCTTAGATAAACAGGCTTTTCAATTGTGTAATACTAGACTTTCCAAAGGTTATGGCATAGCAGTCCACAAACCTAATGTGAGGCCAGACTGCCAGAGTTCCAGCCATTGTCCTGCCACTTACCAGCTGTGTAACCTTGGGCAAGTTACTTAACCTCTCTGTGCTTCTGTTTTCTCATCTGTATAATGGGGAGAATAAATGTACCTACCTCATAAGAGTTCCTAGAGGAATTAAATAAGTTACTATTTGTAAAATGCTTAGAACAATTGTATAGAGCACATAGAAAACATATAATGCTTGCTAAACTAAATATATACATATATATGTCCATATCTGTATTGGTGGTACTGCCTATATCGTATACATAGATATCCACATATATAGTAAGTACTCAGTGAAGTTTAAATTAAATACACACACACAGGGACACACAATTTGGCAACCACAACAACCTTGTAAGGTGAGCAGAGGCATTAAATAACATCCCCACATCGAGTAATTGGTAGATCCATTTTTGGGATCCATGCCTTCTAACTTCTGAGGCAAAAGTAAAAAGTAGAAATGATAGCCTTCATCCACTGATCTTCTCAAACATATATGTAGTCTTCAGATACACAATGATTTCATCACATTAAATAATTGGAAATTTACTACAGGTATTTTAATTATTTTGATTTTTTTGTTTTTGTTTTTAGAGACAGAGTCTCACTCTGTTGCCCAGGCTGGGGTGTATTGGCATGATCATAGCTCACTGTAACTTTAAATTCTGTGCCCAGGCTGGGGTGTATTGGCAGGATCATAGCTCACTGTAACTTTGAACTCCTGGACTCAAGTGATCCTCCTGCCTCAGCCTCCCAGGTAGCTGGAACTATAGATGTAAGCCACCATGCTTGGCTAATTTTTTTTTTTGTAGAGATGGGGGTTTCACTATGTTGCCCAGCCTGGTTTCAAACTCCTGGCCTCAAGCGATCCTCCTTCTTAGGCCTCTGAAAGTGCTAGGATTACAGGTGTGAGCCATCACACCAGGCAAATTATTTTGATTTGCCAAGTATAAGAATAGTGTCAGATATATGATATTGGCCTGTCAGTAGGAAAAAAAATACTAACAGCTTCTGTGCAGAAGTTATTATGTGGGATATCCCAGTCTCATAAAGAAATCTATGATGTGGGTCATTTTCTACGTGACTATATTTTTCCTGCAGGTGAGGAAAGGTGGAGCAAGAAAGATAAGTTGAGTGTGTTGAATGGAGAATTATGCATGAAGTTTTAGTAGAGAAGAATTCAAATAGGAAAACATGCTATGGGAGTACATTTAAATGGATATATGCCTATGACATCATTTGGTATGCAAAGGCTTGTGTTTGCATTACACTGATGGAGAAGCTGTTATTTTCCTTGCGGTATGTACTCAACACACACCTTTGGAAAATAAATTCTTTTACTTCTCTAAAAAAAGAGAACTGTCTGTTATTTTAAATACAAAACACATTTGACTTCTGTCAACAGCTTACATTTTAATGTAGTTTGTACTTGCATTCATTATCTGCAATTAGAATTCTCGAAAAGCTTTTAGTGTTTCTTCTCCCCAACTTTTAAAATCCATTCGTCTTAACTGTTCACATTTTAGAGAATAGTGGAAATCCTATGCCAAATTGGAAAACTGAACAAAGAAATTCGTTTTCTGGAAATTACCATCGAACTAGGTAGAGAATCTTCAGCTATTGTGCTGAAAGAACCACATTGTTATGTGATACCTACACCCTCTTCTTGCTAGTGTTAGGTCAGACTCAAATGTTTTCCTTTTAACCCAGACAAGTTAATGAGAAACGCCCTGCTGGCAGTCAGTTCAGTATCTTTTCTCATATGCTAAGGCTTAGTTTGTATAAATTATCTGTTTATACTACTCCTCAGTATCCAAGTAAAGCAAGAATCAGGAGTTCAGGTATTTTCTTTGTGATGCATTTAAAAGAGATATTTCTCAAATACCTGGGACTCTCTGGGGTGCCTTTTATCCAAGTATGATGGGAGTCACGTGTTCTCATTTCTTCCTTCCTGTCTATTAGCAAGAAGAATACAGCCAGCTGAGCAATTGTGTGTGTGTGTGTGTGTGTGTGTGTGTGTGTGTGTGTGTGTGTATTTGGGTTTTTTTCACCCTCTCATTTTAAGATGTAACTGGAACCAGGACCCAAATGGTATGTGGGTTTGCTTCGGGCAGGGCATGTAAACAGAGCCAAGCCTAGAACTAAATGCAAGGTGTGTAGCAGATTCATTGACCTCCCTGTTTGCCCAGCTGCAGGGTGACTCCCTCCTCAATCCCCAGCTGCCCAACTGCTTTCTAATGCTATTTTATTTTTCTTTTAAACTGGAGTAGCCAACCAAACTTCCCCGGAGAGGTTCGATAATTACTAAAAACAGACAACTTTCCAATTACACACAGCACAGAAAAAGCTGCCAGTGCTTTGTAGTTCGGCCCCTACTTTGTCCATGGTCAGTAATGCCTTCGACATGATCTGCTAGCTTACATTTTTAAGGAAAGACATCATCAGAATTTATGAAAATGAGTAAAGGCTCTTCATTAACCCCACGTTTTACTCTTAGCCGTAAGAAAGTGCTGATTGTTCACCTTTTTAAATAACCTACAGAAACAACGATTGCATGTGCTTTAACCTAAATAAACAGATTTATTCCAGTGATACTTCCAGGTCTCAAACTGTTTTAAGACTCATCCCTTGAAATGAGTAAAATCAAGTTCACTACTTAGATGTTACATTAATCTCAACTTCTTAACAACTACACTTTAGTTATGAAATTGGCTCTGAAAAACGTGTGGTTATTTGCAAATGAAGTAAAATATGTCTTCTGTGGACGAGAATGATTATATTGGAAAACTATGATTTTCAGATAAAAATCTCTGAAAAATCTGTGACTGATTCTTCTGTATCTAAGAACATAGAGATTATAAACAGATTTATATTAATAGATATATGAATAAATAATGAATACATGTAATCATTATTTGAGAAAATATTTATTAAGCACCTATGTTATCCAAAGTACTTTCAGAGATAACTCTCCAGATCAGTTTGTTTTAACTAGCAGAATATAAAATTGG